AAAATTCAGCCCAAACAGACATGTCCTCTGCTGACTCAGATGCCCACTCACCCGGTTTACCTAGGATCATCCTGGCCTTGTCCCAGAAAGACCTCTGTCCAGGGAACCCTCGGTCCCCAGTGAGCCAGGCTCTGGGGTTTTCTGTATGAAGCTGACCAAATTTTTGTCCTGAGCAAAATCAGACGGCCTCATTACAAAAGCTGCTGACTACTTGTCTGAAGCGAGGTAGGAGTGGGGGTGGCGGGGTGGGGGTGGCTTCTGCCTCCTAAACCCTAACCCTAACCCTAGGAGAGCCCATGGCACACACAGACAGACAGCAACCTTCATGGGACCCCAGAAAGGGGCTGCCTTGGTAGTGAGGTGGCCCAGTGCTCCCCACCGGCTAGGGGTCAGCTCCGCTATCACCTGTCCAGCTTGGAGGCTTTTTCAGCCCAGAGCTGTCTCAGCTCCTCCTCCTTAGCAATTCCTGGATCACCGCGCTTAGCTCATCCCATTGAATCCTTCGACTGCTGAGTCAGTCTGTTTAAGTTTGAAAATAAAAAAAAAATGTGAAAATTTCCAAATATTAGGTCATCAACAGATGCAACAGTAGAAGCACATGAAAAGCAAAGCAGAGCTGGCAAGGACTGGTAGGGCTCCCTGCGGTGTCTACGTGAGTGTGGATAGAATAGCTGCCCCCTCAACAGACACTCCCAAGACGTGGATGAGGAACCACTTCCTGGGGCAGGACAGAGTGGGAAAGCAGCGGGAAGGGCGCGTCCTAGGAGAGGTGGGATGAGGAACGCTTACCTCATGGGCAGGCATCAGGGAAGGTGCCTGGACCCAAGGAGGAGCTTGTGGGGTAGAAAGGAGACTCCAAAGAGAGCCGGGAGCTTCTGCAGAGACACAGCCAGTGACCGTCCCCAAGGAGGGAGGGGGCTGATGCACCCCTCACTATCCCCCATTCCCAGCCACGGTTTGCCATGAAGCCAAAAGGCACAAAGCAGCACAGGTGGGGGGTGGGGAACTCCAGTGACAGTTCCTCATCTTGCAGCTAATTCATCCTGAGGGAGGAGCAGAGGCTGGGGGAGAGGGACAGGCCCTGAAAATAACCTCATGGGGGCAGTGCAGCGCGAACACAGGAGGTCCTTCCACAAGGGTCACCCCAAATGCTCAGCCTTCCAGCTCCTCAAACGCCTGCGAGATGAAGGGCTTGCGGGCTCTGCCACCCTCTGCTTCTCTGTCCTTACAAGAGAATGGACAGGCAGAGAACTCCTCGGTACCAGGTGGCATCGCTCCACGGGGACTACTTGAGCAATTTGAACCTAAACTATTTCTAAACCATTTCATCCTCTCGGACAGCCCAAGTCACTTCTCAGTTCAAGATCCTCTGAGGCATCCTCGATCTCGCCCAGATCTTAAAGTCCTCACAGGATCTAAAAGCAGCTTTCTCCTTTGCTCCCTGCCTGCATCTCCCTGTTACAGAATAGGCTTCCTGGTGCTCCCTGAACTCCTCCCCTGGCGCTCTCGCCCAGACGCCCTTGCCTGCATCCACCTGGGCCGCCCTCACTTCCTTCATCCCACCCAAATGTCGCCTGGCAACACAGCGACACCAGCTTTCCACCCTCTGGCACAGAACTACCACACTAAGCTAATAACACTCCCAAGGTGAGTCATTTTTTAATAGTGCAATCTAGTTAATCAAGTAGCAAATCTTACACTTTAGAATTTCCTTTCGTGTCATTTGGTTCTAAGTATCTGATTTCATCATTGTTCTCAGAAATCATTCCCCTACATGTGTAATTCTAGATCAGGAGTTACTTTCTCTTCATATTGGAGATTTCATTCTACTCTAATTTTTACTGTTGCTTTTTTTTTTTTAAAATATTTATTTATCCATGCACACAAGAGCTGGGGCACAGGTTAGAGATGCAAAGGGGGGGGGGTTTGAGAGGATCCACAGAGACAGAGTGGGGAACAGAACAGGCAGACTGACTGAAATACATTGCTGAGGGGAGCAGCGGGGAGACAGGAGAGGTCTGCTTCATCATGTGGTCTCTCTCTGGCCGGCCAGGGATTGAACTCGTGCTGCAGAGGCTGTGGATTGTCCCAAAGTGCGGTGCTTAACCCCTTGCGCCACCAGGGAGGCCCTTTACTGTCACTTTTAAGAAGTCAGCCTGGGGCCTCCCCGGTGGCGCAGCGGTTGAGCGCTGGGTTGCGAGGCTGCCCGCAGCCTCTGCAGCACCAGTTCGATTCCCGGCCGCCGGGCTAGGGTCCCGCATGGCGCGCAGACCTCTCCTGCTGCCCGCTGCTCCCCTCAGCAGTGTACTTCATCTGTCTGCCTGCTCTGGCTCTGGTGGATTCTCTCACCCACCCCCGCTTCTGACTGTATGCCCAGTGCTTGTATAAATAAATAAATCTTAAAAAACAGACTCCAAAAAAAAAAAAAAAAAAAAGACTATCTCTGTTATAATTGTTTAAAGAAAAAAAAAAAGTCATCCTGGATCAGCTTAATTATTGCTTTTTAATTTCCCACTTTCCCTGTGATGGATGTGGCTCGGTCTATTTCTATTTGCATGATTTGGACTTTATAGTGCTTCCTGAATCTCAGAACTCAAGAGCCTTCAACAATTCTGGAAAATTCCTACTCCATTACCTTCTCCCATATTTCCCCTCCTCCATTTCTTCTAGACTCTTCTGGAATTTTAATTAGACTTGTGTTAGGTCTTAAAACTAACTTCTATGTCTCTTAGAATCATGTTCTCTCTTTAGACTGGATTTTGGAAAGTTTCTTTGGAATATTTTCCAGTTCATTAATTTTCTTTTCAGAATTGTCCTATGCTCTTCTAAATCTCTCTTCAACTACATCACATAGTAGTTGTGATGTAGTTTTCTTATTTAAAATAAGAAATTGATTACATTTCTTGAAACTAAGTATTCCAAAGACTGATTGTGTTTCTTTTTTGCCTGAACTCTGGGTGCATTTACTTAGGAACTCCAAATGGAATTCCATACTGGAGCCATGTGCAATGTGAGTGATTATGAATTCTCAGTGGAGAATTTGTTGTTTTTATACAGTGACAAGCTCTGTTCTCAGCTGTTCCCTCCAGTGCTCAGTTTGGGAAATTGATGTACACCCTAACTTTCATTAAAGTTCAGCAATGCATTAATTTTTTGGATGTTATATAGCATTTCAATCACTGGTTTCCATCAGGTATTTCTTTTTTTTTTTTTAAGATTTATTTATTTATATAAGAACCCGGGTACAGGCCAGATTGCAGGAGGGTGAGAGGATTCACCAGAGACAGAGCAGGGAAGAGAACAGGCAGGCTGACTGAAATACACTGCTGAGGGGAGCAGCAGACGAGACAGGAGAGGTCTGCCACGCCATGTGGGTTGCTCCGTGCTGGCGGGGATCGAACCGGCACTGCAGAGTCTGCGGACAGCTTCACAGCACTGCACTCAACCACCTGCGCCACCAGGGAGGCCCTTCAGCTATTTCATTTTACTTATCTCAGCCAGGAAGTGCACACTGAGAAACCCCAGAGCTAGCACATGTTTCTAAATGATTCTTTTGTAGTCATAGCACCTGTCATATATTTTACTGTTACTCTCTTCACCTTTAATTATATCTCTTGAGTGATTTTATTAGTTTCTAAAGAAGTTTCCATCTGATGCGTCCAACAGCTCTCCTTCAGTGAAATACCTGCTTTGAAGTGTTCTCTCGGTGTTCTCTATGGCTTGCTGGCTGTTATTTTCCACTTCCTGCTCAGACCTCAAGTTCGCAGTTCACTGACCGGTAGTTGCAGGTCAAGCAGGGAGGGTCTTTTCTGCAGAGGTGAAGCTGCTCTGTGGGTGTCCCTTGCCACCCTCCAGGTGCACACGCCCACCAGCCCTCCCGCAGGGCCCCCCCTCCCAGGCCTTCCTGAAGGGGCCAGGAGCCAGCCTCCTCCTGACCCGCCACCAGCTGGATGGGGCCAACCCTCACAAAAACAAAGCAGCCCACATGTGTGGTTCTTTCCTAAAGGGATGTGAGATCTCCCAAGACAGGTTTTCACTGGGAACTAAAAAATTCAGACCTTTGCTCTGAGATTCCCACAAAACAAAGGCGAGTGAGAGTGTGTCTCTTTCCCAGCCCCTGGACCTGTTGCATGGGCAACCTTGATCACATGCCTGCTTCGCTCTGCTGTGGCTTGGATAAGCAGTGGAGGGGGAGAGGGGAGCTCAGCTCGGGGGCTCATCTGCTCATGGTGTCCTGACTTATACGTCCACTCTCAGTGACCTTCTGACCAGGACGGGCCCTTTCACCTGAAGACAGAGCTGGCGTGCTGGAGAAGCTTTCACAGAGAACACGGGGGGGGGGCCTGTTACCAAAAGGAAGAAGCAAGGATGGTGGGAGGGATGAGGGCTGACACACCATACAGCGCAGCACCGCAAGCTTACATGCTGCCAACACGCAGACAGCGGCCTTACCCTCCTCTCCTGTGGCTTAGCTAGCTACCAGGAGCACAGCGCTACCCTGACTGCGAGCTCTGAGCTGTTAACATGGCTCTCGATAACAGTATGCTTACCTGATGTTTTCACTACAAAGGATAGAATCCCGACTCAATGATTACGCATTAAGGAATATTACTAGGTGGTGTGGATGGAAACCCTTAGATAAAGAAGATTTGACACTCACTGCCATCAGGACCTCGGTTCTGCTGGTCTCAGGGGCATGTACTTCTGCTTTTCTTTCTTGTGTAAGCTGTGTCCTCATGGATGTTTTCCTCTTGGTTAAAAGACACAGCATATATCCTTCCCACCATTCCACAGGAACAGACCTGCTCTTCCACATTGAGATACTGAAAGAAGGAGAGGGAGAAAGGTCTTCTTGTGACTGTTTTAAGATCAAACAGCTTCTCACAGAAACCTCCAGCAACCTTTTCGTTCTCATGGACTGGGATAATTATAACTGATATGGAACGAGTCACACATATCTAAAGTGAACAATTTAGGACTCCCCTGGTGGCACAGGCAGTTGAGCGCCGCACTGTGAAGCTGTCCCCAGCCTCTGCAGTGCGGGTTTGATCCCAGCCGTCCGGTGAGGGTCCCACAGGACGCTGCAGACCTCTCCTGTCGTGCCCGCTGCTCCCCTCGGCAGTGTATTTCGTCAGTCTGCCTGTTCTGTTCCCCACTCTGTCTCTGGTGAATCCTCTCCCCTTCCTGTGCATCTGGCCTGTACCCCGGTTCTTGTATGCATGAATAAATCTTAAAAAAAAAAAATTAAAGTGTACAATTTGATAAATTCTGACATATGTATACCCTGTGAAATCATCACCACCACCAAGATAGTGACCATATACCATCACCCCAAAGTCCCTTCAAGACCTCTGATGTCCCTCACCCCCACTCCTCCCCTGACCCCAAACAAGTACCTCTGCTTTCTATCATGACACATGAGTTTGCATTCTCTAGAATCAACCAGTGTGTACTCTTTTATCTGACTCCTTTCATTGAGCACAATTATCTTGAGATTCACTTAAGCTGCTTTGTATCAACAGTTCATTTATTTTTATAGGTGAATAGGATCCTATTCCATTTGAAAATTATGCTTCATTATGAGCTACCGCTCCACATGCACTTGTGACAAAGAACACACAGAGACTCCGCGCCCCTTTCTACCCGGCTTCTCCCAGAGGGAGATGCTGCAGGATCTCAGCCAGCCGAGGTACAGAGCATTCCCACCATGAAGGGCCCTGCGCTGACCATGCCGTCCTCTCCCTCCTCCACGCCGTCCTAGCCCCTGGCAACTACAACCAGTTCTCAAGGAGTCACGTAAGTGGGATCACACTCTACGTAAACTTTTGGATTTTTTTTTTTTCACTCAGTATAGTTGCCTGGAGAGGCATCTAGGTGCTTTCAGCTCTCAATATTTCACTCCTTACGTGTCTGAGTGCAAATAAAGTGTCTATAAAACATGCTTGTATGGGTATTTTGTGCACACAAGTGTTCATTTCCCTGGGATAAATGCCTAGGAATGTAACTCTTATGTCATATGGATGTTACATTTAATTTTTAAAAGAAACTACTAAGTGGTTTCTAGGGTGGTGGCCCCATTTCACAGCCCAGCCAGTGATGACGGGGGACCTGGTCCTCAGGGTCTCAGCAGCACTCGGGGTCGCCACTGAGCGTATTTGGAGCCATTCCCATAGGTGCGGTGAGAGTTGACTGTGGTCTTGGTTCGCACATTCTTAAGGATTAGCAAATTTTCACAAGCTTGCTTGTCTGCTTATTCTCTTGAGTGACGTTTCTGTTCCTGTCTTTTGTAATAAAGGATTGTTTATTCCTTTACTCTCAGTTTTCAGAATCCTTCACATAGTCTAGTTACTGGCCTCTTGTGTGCTTTGCAAATATGTCCTTGTAGTCAGTAGCTTGATGCTTCATTTCCTTCACTGAGTCTTCTGCAGAGCAAACCTTTTTCATTTTGATGTTGTTCCATGCACCATTTTTTTTCCTTCCATGGATCAGGCTTTAGGTGCCAAGAGACACCTGAGAATTCTTTGTCTAGTTCTAGATCTTAAAGATTTTTTCCATGATTTAAAAAATAAGTTTCATACTTTACATTTTATGATTAAATCCATAATCCACTTTGAGTTAATTTTTAATTTAGGACACTATTTGCTTTGCTTGCCCATGGACGTCTAAATGGTCCCAGGACTATTTACTGAAAGACCATCTTTCTCTAGTGAGTTGCCTGTCCACCTAGGCAAGAATCCTGCCGGCCTACTCCTGTGAGCTTAGGTCTGTGTCTAGCCCACTGCCAATAACTTACATGCTTTTTAAAAAAATTTCATTTGAGGTAGTATTTGGACACCCCCATCAGGTACTGGCACCACAGTAGTAACTCACAATCTTGACTAACTTTAAGTACAGAACATCTTGAAATTGAGGCATATTTTACTGAATTTCCGACCTTATGTAGTTGTGTAGGGATGACTCAATCATCCACTCACAGTAACCCTAAATCTGGGCTCTAACTGAAAGGCCACAGTTGGAAACTATACTCCCTCAACTGCTCGCGTTCTTTATCAACAAACTTAAATCCCGCTGAAGGAAGGAAGTTGACTACAGGAAATAACTCATGCAACGATGTGATATACTGAAAAATACTATCTCTAACATCAGCACCAGAGCCTCAGAGCAGACACAGGTCTATGCAGCCACCAGTGTGGACAGAAGGCTGTGTGGTCACTTACCCAAGCTGGTTGTCCAATCTGTGTCCTCGTTCCCTCCCGTTTGTGTTGTTGGGGATATCTGTGGGTAACTGGTGCTGGCCACCTGGAAGCCCACATACTTCCACTGTGGTGATGACGGTGCTGTCCACAGCAGCAGGGCGTCCTCTGCGAAGCTGTGCCAGTCCTCAGGCATCATCACATCGTGGGGAGCAGGAGTGAGGCCCACAAGCCCCAGCATGGCTCTTTGCCCGCAGCTGACTAGCAGCATGACTTGGACAAGTCACTTCAACTCACTGAACTCTGACTTTGCTATGAACAGTGAGATCCCAGATCTTACACGATGATCTGGTAGTGTCTGGAGAATCAGGAAAAGTCCATGGAAAGTTCTGTCTGGTGACAAATGGTCAACAAGCACAGCCTTTAGTTCTGCTCTGCAAGAGCAAGATGATGGAAAAAAGGAGAGAAAATAATTAATTTTCCAGAATTACTTTAAACACTGAACTGGACTTTTAAATTTGTATCTGGTTTGCAGGTACCATTTCGTAACGCTAATCCTCACAAAAACATTTATGAGACACAGAAAAGGATGATCATTACTAACAAAACCAAAAAACTAACAAAGAAGAGTAAGTCTTTTTTTTTAGATTATTCAAAAACAAGACAACTTTTTAAAAGTTACTCAAATAGGGCTTCCCCTGGTGGCGCAGCGGTTGAGCACTGGGCTGTGAAGCTGCCCGCAGCCTCTGCAGCGCCAGTTCGATCCCCGGCCACCGGTGAGGGTCCCACATGGTGCGACAGACCTCTCCTGCCACCCGCTGCTCCCCTCAGCAGTGTATTTCGTCAGTCTGCCTGTTCTGTTCCCCGCTCTGGCTCTGGTGAATTCTCTCACCCTCCCGCGCTTCTGACTGTACCCAGTGCTTGTATAAATAAATAAATCTTTAAAAAAAAAAAAAGTTACTCAAAGAATAATCATGACTTAGTCATATTCATATTCATGGCCAATTGGATAGTTTTGCTATGTTTTTAATTCTTTTTTCTTTTGAAATAGAATAAATCTACTACCTTGAAAGTAGAGGGAGAAACCTACTATCTGCTCCCTTCAGAAAAAAAATTAGATTCTATAGCAAAAGATGGGATATGGGGTAGGAGGATGGAGCTCTACAACCCACGGCTACTTCTGAGGTGTCCAGAGAACTGTTCCCTGATCTCAGCCTCTCACTGATCCCTGGTGCCTGTCTTCACACATGCATTAAAGCTCAGCCTGGGCACCCCACTTGGAAACAAGCTGGAGATCTGTGACAGCAGTGAGGATGCTGGCCTCTCACTGCATACAGAGAAGAGGGTCACAGAAAGGGTATGCAGCCAGGCTGGACACAGGGCGCTTCGGGTGCGGGTTTTGTGTATTCTGTGGGGTGACAGGGTCAAAGACACTGGCAGTCTGTGTCTGAGAGACCCCTGACTCAAACCTTTCAGATAGGAAGATTAAGGCAGGACATCGACATGTCTAATGGCCTCCCAGAAACAGCACAAGAAGGAAAATCTATTAATCCAAAGAAAAGACCAAAGTAGGACTCTGGACAAGAGGTGTGTCAAAGGACCAGGGGGGAAACGCTCCTTTTAGAAAGGCAAAAGAAAACTGGGTATTTTTTCCATAAGATCTGGGGGCATTACATATTTTGAAAATGATTTACTGCTAGAACTGTGAGGAGATTTTAGGTAGAATGATTAAAATGCCAAGAAAGACAGTCTTCATGAAACTGTGACATGAAAGTGAAGAAGAGAATATAAAGTTGCTTCAAGAGCAGCCGTGGGCATGTGGTATGGACATCTGCAGGAGACGACAAAACTGTCAAGAAAATGAACCACCAAACAACCAACATCAGCAATATAGCAGTAAAGGCAGGCTTGACTTAACAAAAAACCAGTGATGTGGCCTAAGTACTTGAGAATGTTTGTTCCAGAATGTGAGGGCAGAACAGAAGATATGGAGGAGAAGTTGGTCGGTGTGAAGGTGCGAAAACAATGATCCACGGTGAAAAGTGCACGTTTTCAGAGTGGGAAACTGGAAGCAAAAACCAAAGGTTAAAATTGGAAAGAATTAACCAATCAGGGCCTCCCCTGGTGGCACAGCGGTTGAGCGCTGGGCTGCGGGGCTGCCCGTGGCCTCTGCAGCGCCGGTTCGATCCCCGGCCGCCTCCAAGGGTCCCGCGTGGCGTGGCAGACCTCTCCTGCCATGCCCGCTGCTCCCCTCAGCAGTGTGTTTCATCTGTCTGCTTGTTCTGTTCCCCGCTCTGGCTCTGGTGGGTTCTCTCGCCCTCCTGAGCTTCTGACTGTACCCAGTGCTTGTGCAAATAAATGAACAAATCTTAAAAAAATAAAAAAGAATTAACCAATCAATGAACAATGAAATAATGATTTTCTGAGAGAAAAAATAAACCAAACCCTGACACTATGTTGATTTAAAAGACTTGCCCTGCTTTAAAGAAAATTGGTGGGAGAAGACTATTTTGGCAAAAAATTCAGTCTTAAGGATAAAGAAAAATTATTAAAACAATTTTCAAATAACTGTCTTGAAATAAAACATGTTACCTCTGGAACAAAAGTTGACAGATTTGAGGATTTTCTTGCATAGTTGTAAATAGATGTTTATAATGGAACCTTTCGTATAGAATCTGAGAATTCTATACTCACTCAAGTTTTTGTCTATCTGCAAAGGCAACAAGAAGATTAACAACAGACAATGCCTCTGAAAACATGCCACCTATATATCTTTTGTTAAAAAATATACTCAAAGACATATTTCAGATGACTGTAAAGTTAAAACGCAGAAGTGATGGACTTAGAGTGTGCACTGAAATAATTCAAATGTAAGACTATGCAATTATGGAGACTGACAAACCCCAGATCTGTGACAAGCAAGCTGGGTCCAGGAGAGCAGGTGGTATGGTCCTGGCCAAGTCCTGAGGCAGGAGGAGACTTGAAGATGGGCAAAGAGAGCCAACTCTCCCTTCCTCAGCCACCTTGTGCCATGCTGGCCCTTGGGGCACTGGGCGAGACCACCACATTGGGACAACCATCTTCTTCCTCAGTCCACAGACTCAAAAGTTCTTCTCATCCAGAAATACCCTCAGTGACACACCCAGGATGCCGTTCAACCAAACATATGGCCACCCTGTGAGCCAACCAAGTTGATACAAAAAATTAACCATCTCACTTGATTTAAACAATCATTTGTTTGGTTATGAAAAAACGAATGTGGGGCCTCCCTGGTGGCACAGGCGGTTGAGCATGGCACTGTGAAGCTCTCTGCAGCACGGGTTTGATCCCTAATGACCTTGGAGCAACCCTCATGGTGAGCAGACCTCTCCTGTCTCACCCGCTGCTCCCCTCAGCAGTGTATTTTGTCAGTCTGCCTGTTCTGTTCCCCGCTCTATCTCTGGTGAATCCTCTCACCCTCCTGTGCATCTGGCCTGTACCCCGGTTCTTTTTTTTTTTTAAAGATTTATTTATTTATTTTATACAAGAACCGGGGTACAGACCAGATGCGCGGGAGGGTGAGAGAAAGGATTCACCACAGACAGAACAGGGGAACAGAACAGAAAGACTGACGAAATACACTGCTGAGGGGAGCAGCGGGCACAACAGGAGAGGTCTGCTGCACCATGTGGGACCCTCGATGGCCCGCCGGGATTGAACCAGTGCTGCAGAGGCTGCGGACAGCTTCACAGGGCAGTGCTCAACCACCTGCACCACCAGGGGAGACCCTGTACCCCGGTTCCTGTATAAATAAATAAATCTTTAAAAAGAAAAAATGAATGTGAATGTCAGAAACTTGAGCAGAGAGTAGTGTACAAAGTGTATATAAAACTAAATCATAATAATATGGTTTAAATGTCAGATGATAGGAATAAAGGCTGTGAACCAGTGTGAAGAAAATTATCAACTGGCAGAAGGTAAAATGACAGCTATTTTCTTAAACATATGTGGAAGTTAGTAAAGAATGGAAAAGAGAAATTTTTAAACAGTGAGTATCAGTAGAACTTACAATAGGATTGAGATCTTCCAAATCTGCAGAAGATAAAATCAACTCAAACAGCAAATGACAGAAAACAAAGGAAGTGGAATAAAAACCTTTAAAGAAACGAAAAGCATAACCCAAGATAGTAAAATAAGATGAACCTGCTATTTCTGATAACACATTTAAATGGGTTATACTTCTCAATTAAAACAAGTTTTGCCGAATAAGGTGGTTAGAAAACATCATCGTAATGATGCTCTTGCAGGGTACTTGTAACACAGAATGCAAATTTCAAATATAAGAGGATGGACAAAGATTTATAAGAACAATTAAAATAGAAGAGATGGAATGAAGGGTCTCAGACAAAGCAGATGGCATGGGTCTAAGTGTGCAAAGGTGGAAGCAGGCCATGCCATCACACAGTGCACATGGCACTATCAAGTCTCAGCAGCCATGTGCTTGGACACTAAGACAACATTAGCACAACCATAAAAAGTCACGAGAAGAAGAAGAGAAATATGGAGGAAAACACCAGAGAGGTCATTTTTCCTGACATCCTTTCCTTGAGGGCCACCCCGCCCTCCCTGCAGGTCAGAAGGTCTAGCGGTGCTGGGCCACAGGGCTGGAGGGTGAGGCAGAGGTCTGGTGCCCCCTCATTCCCCAGGCCCCTTTTCCCAGCTGTGTCAACACACCCCCATCTTCTGTGGGCCGAGCTACTGTGCTTCGCACCGCACCTGGGTCGTTTGAGGCCAGCCCTTGGGCTCTGGATCTGCCTGGCCACGCGGATGGTGGAAGGGCTGACAGCAGCCCCTCAGTCTACATACGTCTGGTTCCTGGGCTAGAAGACAGACTTGGGGGAGTGACAATGCATCAGTACTCCCAAGAAGGCTCCTCCTTCTCCTCAGATGGTCTTGCCTACTCCCACGACTGCCAGGGGATCTGTCTTGGAGAAACCACTCTCCACTTAATTCCTGACTCGAGATCTGAGCCTGGGAACCCTGGCCTGAGATGGCGCATGACCCAAGCTGGCCAGTCGGAGTGGCTTACCTCCCTGACTGGAGGATTAACCCGAGGCGGGCAGCTTACCTGAGCTGGGCGCACCGGCTCGTCCCCTGGCCTCGGGACGCCTCTCTGTTCCTATGATTACAGCAAGCCAGGACCACATAAGCCTGCATTCCCAGCAGCTAACCTGTTGCCTGCCAGAGACATGAAGACATATGAGCAAAGCAAAGACATGAAGGAAGACCAAGTCCCTCCTCTGCAGAAGTAGCTGACGTTTGGGAAATCCCAGCTACATTAGCTTACGAGTTCTTTAAGGACATATGCTGGTTTGATTTGGGGTTATGTTATATGCAATGTAGACTCCTCACAACATAGTGTTTCTGGGCCTCCCCGGTGGCGCAGCGGTTGAGCGCCGGGTTGTGAAGCTGCCCACAGCCTCTGCAGCGCCAGTTCGATCCCCGGCTGCTCCCCGGCCACCGGAGGAGGGTCCCACATGGCGCGCAGACCTCTCCTGCCGCCCGCTGCTCCCCTCAGCAGTGTACTTCGGTCCTTCTGCCTGCTCTGCTCCCCGCTCTGGCTCTGGTGAATTCTCTTACCCTCCCGCACTTCTGACTGTACCCAGTGCTTGTATAAATAAATAAATAAAAATAAATCTTTTTTTTAAAAAAAAAAAGTGTTTCTAGCAAGAAAAGACCTATTGAAGTTTCAGTGAACTTGAGTAACCAGTGGATGATGCATTAACTGGGCTTATCTTTGGAAAGCAGGTGCATTGTCCTGCATTTAAAACAGGCAATACACTGGCTGCAGAAACTATCTCACTTTACTCCTCAAAACATGATTTTTAAAGAACATTCTCTAGGGCCTCCCCTGGTGGCGCAGCGGTTGAGCGCTGGGCTGTGAAGCTGCCTGCAGCTTCTGTAGTGCCTGATCGATCCCCAGCCACTGGCGAGGGTCCCACATGGCGCACAGACCTCTCCTGCCGCCCGCTGCTACCCTCAGCAGTGTACTTCGTCAGTCTGCCTGTTCTGTTCTTCGCTCTGGCTCTGGAGAATTCTCTCACCCTCCTGTGCTTCTGACTGTACCAGTGCTTGTATAAATAAAAAAATAAATATATATATATTTAAAAAAAAAGAACATTCTCTAATATGTAACCATCCTGGAAACTGGTTTCAAAAGCTGAAAGAAATACAAAAGACCCGTCTGGAAATTAAAAATCTTTCAGCAATAACAACTGGGTAAAAAAGGGAATCCAAGCTAACAAAAAATGGGGCTGTCTGCTTGAAGGCCTTCCTCCCTCTGACCCATGTTTCCTCCCTCTTCACTGTTTCCACATTCACCCATCCGCCCAATCTGCGCTCAGTGATTTGGGGAAGGGGTGTGGCAGGGCAGAAGGAAGCGACAATTTAGCTTTTGTGGTTATGTAATTTGTCTTTGCAACACTTAGTGTGTTTAGGGAAACACTGAGGTATAGCGGTGTCTGAGCACAGGTGAGACATTTCCTCAGACTCACAAGGAGAGTGGCGGGGGAGGGGGTGCTTCTCAGGTTGGAGGAGTGTGGGGACAAAAGCAGCTTGTGCAGCCCTCTGCTCTCACCCCAGCTGGACTCGCCTCTGCCAGGGGAGAGGTGATGGCTGAGCCATGCTGATGAGTCCTGCCCCACAGGGGCCCAGAAGCACCTCAGGCTGTGTGCAGGGTCATCCAGTGGGGTCTCCACTGGGGTCCTGGGGTGGCCTGGCCCAGAGAGCAGACCCTGCCTCCCACCGTGAGCTCTGTGACAGCGGCAGGTGCAGGGAGGAGCGCAGATTGGCCGGCTTCTGGGGGAACGGGACTTGAAATAGATGTTTAGCAAAACTGTAGCAAAATAAACAAGGGTGCATCTCTGTTGCATTTGAGTTTGTGACTAAAATTTATACTCACTGCACTTCCTATCAGCACTTGTGGGATGTGGTCCGAGGTGCTCGGGAAAGCGGAACTTCACCTCCTCAGCCCCAACCCCCAGCTCTAAATTTGTGTTTACTTTTTATTTTTTAGAGATATACCAATTTCAAGGTGTTTTGTTTTTTTTTTTTTTTTGGCTTTCGCATTCAATTAATAAAATTTATGATCTAGACTCACTTATATTTATTCTTTTGCTACAAATCCTATGTTTGGATGAAACTACTCATAATGATAGCCCATCTTTCTTTTTGCATTTCCTTTATAACTCGAAGAAACAATTTAGGGAAGGAAAAACTGAAAACCTGTCTTAACAGAGAAAAAGAAAAGCACGTGGATATTTGAAAATGCTAATAGCCCTTTCACAGAAACTACACCCTGGAAAGGACAAGTGTGTGCTTTCATGCCCACCCTTAGGGCCACGCCCTCACTTACAGGCAGACCTGGTGGGGAGATTCCCCGTCTTCTTCAGAGAGGCTCTGGCTCAGAGGGTGGAAGAAGGTGCGACCTGGCATACCCATGTCCCTTGATAACATCTTTAGTGAAAATCTCACACCAAATTTGGCATAAGGTCTTTTGAGTTTCCACAACTATTTTCAGCTTAAAAATATCACATCACCCATATTTGTGATGTGTGAATGGGAGGTTGGGAAGAAGCCAACTGACCCTGTCAAGTCCTGAAAGGCCCCTGGCTTTCCGCTGGCTACCCACTAAACACTTTGAGCTCTGGCTTCGCAGCAGCAGCAGCGGGGGCTGTGCTTAAACTCCACGAAGGCACAGGCCATGTGAATCCACGCCCACCGCTCTTCCTCCCGCTTGTCCGAATGTGCCCACTCTAATTGCTGCCCGCCTTCCAGGCTTCCAGGCACACCAGCGTCGGCCTTACTCTTTTGCCCTCCACCTCCCTTCCCTCCCTCCTCCAGCCTCGACCTCAGAAACCTCGCTTTGCTCATTAATGTTCACTAGTTTGTATTAAGAATGCATAACATCTGTCGGTCATTCTGACCTGCTTTGTGAGATGTGATTCCTTTGTGTTCCTGCCATGTTGCTGTTATGGCTGCATTTTGCTCTCGTCATGACTGACTAGCGTTCCACAGTGTGGACAGAGCACCCCTTCTTTTTCGGCTTGCTCTGGGTGAGTGTATGCCAGGCTGACCCTCACAGCACCCCAGGGAATAGCCGCTTTAAGTGGTGAGGCCTGTGGACGTGTGCATTTTATAGGTCACGCCACTAGCAAACCAGACTTTTCCCTAAAATGAGGAAGATAGGAAAATAAAATGTACATAATATACATAGGAACCACATACTGGGGTATAGCAATGGACATTTCCAAATAACATTCTTAAAATTCTCAAAGTAAAAAGTTTTGATTAAATTCTTTAAAATTTTTCACCTCTCATGTAAAAATTACCTCTTCTAGCTTTAAACTTCCCCTTTGAAATCTTATAACAAGTGGAAATTTATGGATTTTTAAAAAGAGTTTGGGTCAGAAACTTGCGCCTTTTTTCCCTGGGAAATAATAGGTAACAATTAACACATCTATTCTTTAGAAATTTGAGTCCAAATTTCTTTAGAAATTTGAGTTCCAAACCACACATGATTCACTGTCCATTTTTAGTTCACTTGAGATGCAAAAAAAGGGGTGATGCTGCCTCAGAGTAAATTTCAGTCTCTGAAGTTTTGATGCCAGTGTTTCTAATAATAAAATATTACACACTGACAATGAAGTGGATTTCTGTAGGGAAAGAAGAACAAGGCTTCAATCACATAGTCTCAAGTCCTAAGAGAACAGCTGTGCAGGATAAAGACATGACACTTTTAAGTCAGGAAAGAATTTGTTTCTTCTAAGTCACTCTATTCATAATGATAAACAATGACAGAGAGGGTACGGATCTTTCTGTATAAAAGCACAGAGAGAACAGTTAATGTTAAGAAGGGGACCTTAAAATAGAAATTGATCCTGGGATGGGGCACCAGAACAGTCACATTTCTACTGGTCTTCCTGTAGACTTACTGTCATTCTGAAACCTTGCTCAGGAAGAAACCTTCATCCGATGACCACTCTGCCAGGTGTGTCTGCACAGTTTGCACATACCCATGGCGACAGCAGTCTTCAGGATTTCCTTATGGGAAACGTACAGGGAGCAAAGGCAGACTTCCTGGGGGTGATGCAGTGACAGTGAGCAGGGCACTGCAAATGGAGTAGGGAACAGAAATGAAAAATCTGTTTCCTCACTCTGTGGTTGGCATCTGGGCTTGCCAAACCCTCCCTAAACAGGTGTGAGGCAAATTGTTAGTGCAGGGACTCCCGAGGAACACCTGAGTTACAAGTCTCTCAACTGAAATCTCTGTACCCCCTGTGTCCCTCTGCCGGTCGTCTGAAAACTGTGGTACCTTCCGTTACTCCTTGTCACTAAGATTTGCGCTAAAGGAACATCCCACAATATCAGGTTGGTGTCATAAGATCACTTCCCATGAGATTCACTTCCCATGAGATCACACACAATAATGTTGTAATATTGTTCCCATGCCTTTGCCATCTAAACAGGCTGCCACCACCCTGTCCTCATCTCCAGTGCCCCCCATGTTCCCTCCTGGCTGTCTGCACACCCAGGCTGCTCTTCCCACCCCAGTCCACAGGAGGTGCCCGTGCTGCCCCCTGCTGGCGCTGTGAGGAGGTGACACCCAGAGTGAGCCCTGCACTTGGTCCAGGCGGGTTCTGCTCATCTCCTCAGACACACCCTACAACGTGCTCGTTCCTCTTCCTTAGGGTCACCCAGTCTGGGCTGCTCAAGAGGGAACCAAAACAGCTTGGGTAGGGGATCTGCCCTCCTGCTGTGCCAACCTGACAGAATCTAAAAACCTAGTTGGTGGACCTGTTTTGCCATTTACTAGGCAATAGGGACTTAACTGATAGGCAAGACGGAGAGGGGCCCAAGGCCTCTCATTCCACCATACGTGGACTTGGAGGCAGAAGCCGTGCCTTCATCTGGAGCACACGGCTACAGTGAGCCATCATTAATGGAAATCCTTAAGGCACATTTCCTTACATATTTGCCTTAATTCTCACAGCCACGCTCTACAAACACTTGCCATCACGTGGTAGCTGAACCATGCCACACACATGAAAGCCTTTATGTCATCTTACTAGTTCATACAAGACAGAGCAATGCTAGTTCGTGGGATCAAACTGCCAATTATTTTCAACATGTAAACAACCGGAGGGGCAGGATTTCTGAAATAATATGTCAGAAAAAAGTTACCACAAGGAAAACGGTTATTTCTGAATTATGAAAGATCATTCATTTATTTGTGATGAAAAGTCTTCTAGCTCTCGTGTGTGTCTCTGCTCTGTGGTGCACAGTCAGAAGCAGTTGTATCAAACAAAGGCTTCTCCTGGCCCTGTCATGTGGCCAGAACCCACACCACCGCCTCGCACATGGGGGCTCGGTTAATGCTGACTGACTGAGGAATTCCTGGCCCTTCTATTGGTCGAGATGCCTGAATTCTTCAGTCATTTACGGTCGCCTTTAAGGCCGACAGTGTATACGCCATCATGACGGGTTGGCCCCACAAGTGCCGGTCTGAAGGGCATCAGCACTGCTGACTTCGGTCTCCACCAGCCCTCCGGGCCAGAACCTGTACTTCAGTAAGATCCCCAGGCAGCCCAGGTGCATGGGAAGCCAGGGAAGCGGACTCGGAGCTCCCCGGCCGGCACTGTTGTTCCCGTGGAGTGGTGGGGCCGCCCTCCTTGGCGCTCCTGCCCCTGAAGAGAACGTCCTATGATTGCCTGACCAAGTCTATGCAAAGTCAGTCTTCACTTCTTGGTTTCCCTCTTCTTTCTACAGGTTGCTCACACTAAGAGGCTGAATTCCTACCCTGGGCCGGAGTCAGGGGACTTTCTGTAAGGGAAACTCCCTCCTGGCTGGCTGGTTGAGAGGGTGGCTGGTGAAGCCGGGGCTGCCCTTCAGACCTGCGCTGTACAGTCTTTGTCTGCTGGACTGGACACTGTACTTAGGGAAGACTTCCTCCCACCAAGTGTGACACCCTGCAAGAGAGTTGTCACATGGCCCCTCGGCCTTGGTTTGTTGTTCTGAGATTGCCTGTGTGTAAATTTATGGGGGTGGGGTAGTGGAATCACTGGTTAATTGAATTGTCACTAGCTTTCACCTTAATACGATAACTTACTTTTTATTAGAAAGACAACTTTGGGGCCTCCCCTGGTGGTGCAGCAGCTGAGCACTGGGCTACTAAGCTGCCCACAGACTCTGTAGCGCCGGTTCGATCCCCAGCTGCCGGCGAGGGTCCCACATGGCGCGACAGACCTCTCCTGCCGTGCCCGCTGCTCCCTCAGCAGTGCATTTCGTCAGTCTGGCTGCTGTGTTCTCCACTCTGGCTCTGGTGGATTCTCTCACCCTCCCGCGCTTCTGACTGTACCCAGTACTTGTATAAATAAATAAATAAATCTTAAAAAAAAAAAAAAAGACAACTTTGGCTGTAATTTGCTGAAAGTTACCCAGATTATCAGCACAGAAAATACTTAAAGAAGTTGTTAACTATTTTACCTTCCATTTAAGGGGTGCTTACCTAAGTGTGGCACAGACTGCTCAAGTCTCTTGGGCATTTGAAGCAGCCCATGCTCCACCAGCTGCGACTGTGCCTGGAGCTGGCATCTTCGGCCTGGGAGAGGCCCCTGTGTAATCTGGGATCCAGGGGAAGAAGACATAGTGAGCAAACTGCAAACACAGGTGCAGCCTCACCCCAGGGCTTTCTCTTCATAGAAATGATCTGGTTATTGGAAGGCTGCAGGTTCTGTGATGAGTCAGAGGTGCTCTGGGTGTCTACAGCCCCACGGGTGGTGGTATGTGGGTCTCCTAGAAAGTGACACCACACAAATTTTAGCTAAGAGTGGATCGGAGCTGCAGGTTAACGGGAAGAGACGGCTCTGCACAGTAGGACTGAGAGCTCCTCGGAGGCGGCAGACCCATGAGAGGGTTGCAGGTACCCATTAAATGCCCTCTTTCCCGTGTGCATTTACTCACTGGTTTGTTGTTCCTTTTTCTCATGCTAATGAGATTCATGGGAGCAGGGGCTGGTTAACTTGCTGCCCAGTGTGGCCGGGCGTGTGCAACGTGTGTGTCACGTGCTCAGTGACTGTGACCATCTACAGGCAGCGCCCATGGCCCAGTTATTTTTCTGACTTAAATCTCACACCCCCATTGTGATCTAATGGTGAAGACTATCATGTTGAAATACTTTGTATGCGCTCATGCTTTTACTTGAATAACTCATCTCAAATTTAGTATAACCACTTAATGCTTAAATGCACTACTAGTCCATTAGTACTTAAAGAACTGGAAACTCGAGCACAGAAGGTGAAATAAGCTTCCATGTAACACTGAGGGAGAATAAAATCTTGATAAAGGTAGTTGGTTCCAATATTGGCTGGTCTTAACCACCATTATAAAATTGCTCAATATTCCTATGTTTGAGTGACAAAGTTGATATGTAAATATTTCCCTATAATTACAGTTCCGAAAACTGCAAAGGAATGGAATGGGATGTGAGCCCAGAAATTAACCCACACTCATTGCCAGCTTCAGCAAAGGACTCAAGGGCACAGGATGAAGATAGAAATGTCTCTTCAAAAAGAGACATTTGGTATTGGGAAAACTGGACAGCCACATGCAAAAGAATTATCTCAAAATGTAAATAAAAATTTCTTCAGGGATTAAAAATTCAAATGTGAGACCTGAAACCACATAACACATAGAATGTGACACACTAAGGGACATCACCCTCAGAGAGGTACTTGGGGACTCAACAACTCCAACAGCAGGGAAACAAAGTGAAAATAAACACATGGACGACATCAAACTAAAAACCTTCCAAGTTACCACAACAACAAAGAGACAGCCTACCATAGAGCAGGAAGTATTTGCAAACCATGCATCTGACAAGGAACCAACATCCAGGATCTTTAAAGGACTCCTGCAACTCAACAATGACAAACAACCCACTCCAAGCATGGGTAGAAAAGCTAAACAGACACTTTCCCAGTGAAGATATATAGACAGCCAAGAGGTACATTAAAAAATGTTTATCGTTCATCTCTTATTACTGGGAAACAGAAATCCAAACTGAAATGAGATACCACTTCACAGGTGGAGAACAGTCCACATCAAATACAGCAGAAACAAGTTTTGGTGAGGATGTAGAGAAAAAGGACCCTCTCACACAGCAGTGGGAATGGACACTGTGGAAAACAGAATGGAGGTTTCTCAAAACATTAAAACAGTCTCAAAACATGAAAAATAAATTAGGCGTATGATCCAGCAATTCCACTCATAGGTATCTACCCCAAAATATTAATTAAGAAAACATATCTGCACTCCTGTGTTCACAGCAGCAGTATTTACAACATCCAAGTTCTGGAAACAACCTAAACGTGACTAAAGAGCATGTGGTAAATCTGCACAATGGAATACTACTCAGCCATAAAAAGACCACATTTTGCTATTTGTGACAACATGGATAGCACTGGAGGAGACTATGCTAAACATGCTAAACACTGCATGATTCACTCATACGTCGACTATAAAGAAACAAAACAAAGGAAGAGACCAGACCAAAACAACCCTCAAAATATGACTGCGGCGCTGAGGCCACCAGAAGGTGAGGGTCAGGCACAAAGGAGACAAAGGAACCAGAGAACTACGGTGGAGAGTGATGGGTGCCTTTGTTTGTGGGGGTGGTGTGGTACCACACATCTGGGAACCATACCTCTAAATCATACAGTGTTGCAAACCAGTATTAGCGCAACAAAAAGATTTTTTAAGTAGATAGGACTTGGGTGTGAGTGGCCCACTGCAACCTAGTTTTCTTTCTGCTATGCCTCAGTTCTAGACCTTTCATGATTATCCTGGAGACAGATTTCCAAGAAGAGTCAAAATGTGTCTCCACTGCCAAGAAGGTCCAGACAGTCAATCAGCAGAGGCATCAAGAAAACAAAACAGGGCCTCCCCGGTGGCGCAGCGGTTGAGTGTTGGGTTGTGAAGCTGCCCGCGGCCTCTGCGGCGCCGGTTTGATCCCCGGCTGCTCCCCGGCCACCGGAGGAGGGTCCCACATGGCGCGCAGACCTCTCCTGCCGCCCGCTGCTCCCCTCAGCAGTGTACTTCGATCCCTCTGCCTGCTCTGCTCCCCACTCTGGCTCTGGTGAATTCTCTCACCCTCCCGCGCTTCTGACTGTACCCAGTGCTTGTATAAACAAAACAAACAAACAAACAAATAAAAACATGCCTCTATTAAAAAAAATAAATAAAAAAAATTAAAACAAAACAAAACAAGGCTCCCCTGCACCTCAACAAAGCTCTTCCAGGTACAACCACATGACATTCTTTGAGGCTTTAGTCAACAACATCTTATGGAAAAATGGTAGAACTGCTGGGGAAGCCCAAGAATTACCTGGGAAAGGGATTGCACATTAGCACATGGGAGCTTGCAGTTTGGAAGACAAAACAGGAATGGAATTGCCTGGTAACAGTTAGAAAATACAAAACCAGCTTTTCAAAAAATTCCCAAGATAACATGGAAGCTTAAAGAATTTATGATTTTAGAGTTCAGTAAAAAGGAAGTGTTTTAGATGGTCAGCTCGAATGTGAATAGCAATACCTAGAGGAACTGGAATGAGTACATGAGTTCGTTTTTAAAGGTTTTAATAAGTAATGAATTGTAGATTCTCTTTTAGGGTGCAGTGGCTGGTGATAGCTTGATAGTGTTGAGACTTTAACCCCTGTGGCACCAGGGATGTCACGTTATTTTTTTGAAATTGTTACAGCTTTAAAATTTGTTTAAATATAAATGTCTTTTTTTTTTTTTAAAAAAAAAAAGATTTATTTACTTATGCATACAAGAACTGGGGTGCAGGCCAGAGGTGGGGGGGTTGAGAGGATTCACCAGAGACAGAGTGGGGAGCAGAACAGGTGGATTGACTGAAATACACTGCTGAGGGGAGCAGCCGGGAAACAGGAGGTCTGCTGCGTCATGTGGGTCACCTCCTTGGCCAGGGATCAAACTCTTGCTGCAGTGGCTGCAGAGAACTTCATGGTGCTGTGTCTTAACCCCTTGCGCCACCAGGGAGGCCCCACAAAACATCTTTTGACTTTAAAATAAATTGCTGAGGCCTCCCCATTGGCCTAGGGATTAAGTCTCAGGAGCTGACCCACAGGGCACAGCAGACCTCTCCTGTCTCCCCACTGCTCCCTTCAGCAGTGCATTTCAGTAGATCTGCCTATTCGGCTCCCCACTCTGTCTCTGGTGTATACTCTCCTCTGCCCCTCCTCACACCCCTGACCTATATCCCAGTTCTTCTGTGTATAAATAAAATCTTTAAAAATAAATAAATAAAATAAATTGCTAATTCTTTGAACTACTTTTTTTTAATTTTAAAAAGTTTACTTGTACTAAAATATCCTTTCTATAATATTTTATTATAGGGTTAGGTTCTGGTGAGAATAGGGAAAGGCAATTTTGAAATCTAAAATCCCCTCGATTTGTTAAGAAATCTTCCCACAGATGGTCAAAATATGCAGTCATGCAGCTACAGGTGAAGGAGCACCAGGCAGGTAACACTGCTGGGCGCTAGGGAAGCTCCTGGAGAGCAAACCCCCAGTTCTCATCACAAGGAGAAAAGTGTCTTCCTTGTTTCTTTTTTATTTTCTTTTCACTGTATCTACATGGGAGGGTGGGGCATAGCTGAACCTACTGTGGTGATCATTTCACAATACATGTAAATAAGCCACACTGTGCTGTATGCCTTAACCTCACACCATGATCTAAGCGAGTTATTTCTCAATAAAACTGGGGAAAAATAAATTGGCTTTTTCCTCTCCCCACCCATTCTCCTGTCCTCCTTCCACCCTTCCCCTCGCCCCTGCATACCCCATCTGTCTCTCTCTTTTTTCTTTTCTTTTTTTAAAAGATGATCTCAGTCTGGAATAAACATTCTTACGAAATCAGCCAGGATTTGTGCCAAGCATAGTGGTGCACGTCAGCTGTTTTCTGGAAAATAATTGCACATGTGACAATATCTATTATTGTAATTATACGGGGGAGCGGCTCAGAGACATTTCAGGCTGTGGGGTGTTATCTTCTGTAGTGCTGATGGGGCACGCAGACAGCATCTGATATTTTGTATAGGCAAACAGAATGTGTAAGAACGCACAGAAGTAGGGAACCACTCCTCAGGTATTCCCCAGGCGTTGGGGCCTGCATCCTGCTGGGGATGTGCTCCAAGTCACCCACAGGACGCCCTCTGGGAGGCCCGGATGAGGGGGGCTGCTTCCAGGGCTTGGACACAGGCGTCCAACAGCCTCGTTAGCCCTGGGCTCGGCTACGCTCTCAGGACACCTACCGGTGTGCATGTTCAGCTCAAGCAGCATTAATTCCAAGATGTAGAACGAGAGCCTCTTTGTGAAACTATATTGAAAACATACAACCAGAAATCCACAAACCTGAAAACAAAGTGTGTTCAATGGTGCTGGCGTGGGGAACAGAACCTTCACTGGCCCTTTTCAGGGCAGGTCCCCATATGCTAAAAGATGGACTAAGACCAGGCAAGATGTGTGCATCGTGAGGACACCTTAAAACCACCTGCCACTCTGCAGCACACCGCCGCACACCTCGTGCCCTCGTCCCAGGTGG